TACAAATTTTGTTGATTGAATTGGCTCTGAAGCTGACTCATTTTGCCTTTCAATGATTATAAATTACTTCAATGTAATATGTGGTTTGCCTCATGGTGCTTCTCAGTGTTTTAATTTTAAAGACAGCCAGTCTGAAGATAAAATGGAATAGAAGACTATATGTACACTAGCATCTAAAAGAATTAAATATGAAGGGGAAAAAAACTGAACAGAAAATTTGCAAATTTATTTGACGAAAATTTTCAAGTCCTTCTGAAGAACACAACAATAGACTTTGAAGGGGTTTAGAGTATACCACCCCAAAATATGACACTCCAACGAGGATGGTTTGGGGCTAAAAGCAATTGAAAAAATTGAAGAAAAAAGAGAATACATGAAACTTTTGTTTTCTGTCCTACCCCCTCTACCAGGAAGGGCAGGATGATTCTTTACAACCAAAAGTGACTCTAGACTTTCAGCCCAGAGAATGTACATAACAAACTTTACTAACTAGCCCATACCTTTCATTACTTTCCTCTGTACATTTACCTTCCCACAGTTTGCTACCCCTAAAAGACTAAACCTCTTCTTAACAAATTTATTGTTCTTTTGTTAGGATGCTATGTAAGTCCCAGTTTCAACCACCTCTTTGAGTTACTCATCACTGAGTTTTCTCTACCCTGAGCACAGCATGTGTTAATAAACTGTGTGCTTTTCTCTTCTTAATTTGTCTTTTGTCAGTCTAATTTGCAGGGCTTCAGCTGAAGAACTAAGGAAGGTAGAGGGGAAAGTTTTTTCTTCCCCTACATCTTAAATGAATACAAAGACATATCTTGGCCATTGTGGTTAGGGAGACTCAATAATGAAAAGGTGTCAATTCTCCTTAAGTTAACTTCTAAATATAGTATTATCCCAATAAAAACAAAGTTCATGTGGAAAATAAACAAATTTAAATAACTAGAAAAACTAAAAGAATAAAAAGAATATTAAGAAATTCAATCTACCAGATAATAAAACAGGTCACAGAGTCTTATTAGTTAAATGTCTTATGTTGGCACATGAATAGAAAGACCAGTGAAATAGAATAAAATCTTCAAAAATAGACACAAATCCATTCAGAAATTTGGTATATGATAAAGATGACGTCCATGTAAATAGAATAAAGATGGTTATTTAGATTAATGGGACAACTGATTTTCCATTTAAAGAAAACGTAAGATTGGATCTATGCCTCACATTTTATATCAGGAGAAGCCTTCAATTTTATCAGATATTAAAGGTAAAAAGAAAGAAATAACAATTATAGAAGAAAATATGGGTGAATTTCCTGCTAACCTTGGCATAGGAAAGGCCCTTCTATGACTGAAAATAAAGAAGCCAAAAAATTGAAGAAGGTAAGTTAAATAACATGATTTAAAAAAAAAAAAAACATTTGCCTGGCAAATGCAGATAAAGGATAAAATGATGAACTGGAAAGAAATGACAAATCGGATCAATGACAAATACTGTTCTCCTGAAGAGATAATGTACTCTTTAGGAGCCCCAGAAATTAAGAGGATTAAGAATAATCCCATAGAAAAACGAGCAAAACACATGAATAGACATCTCACAGAAAAAGAAATATTCCTGGTGAAATGGAATAGAAGTTAATATGATAAATACAAGTGAAAACGACATTACCATGAAGGGAGAAATGGTCCAGCCCCTTTGGAGGAAGTCTGGCAATACCCACCAAAATTTTGGTTTGGTGTTCCCTGGACCCAGCAATCCCACATCTGGACATCTTTCCTACAGCTACTTCTGCACACATATAAAAATGCACAAGGCCACTTATTGTGGCAGAGCTTGGATAGAATCCAAAAAAACTTTTGGCCCATTTACATAACTAATACTACACAGCTGTAAAAACATAATGAAAACCTTTTCTGTACTGATATAGAGGGATGTTCAGGCTATACTGTTCAAAAAAGAAAACAACACGCAAACCAGTATGTATTATATGCTACATTTTGTGTAATAAAATGAGGAGGGTAGGTAAGAATATATTTTATTCTTATCTATTTGCATATGCATAAGGAAATATTGGAAAGATAAACAAACCAACAAACCAAAATGACTACATAGAGTAGGGAGTGAGAGAGAATAGGACAGATGAGGACAGATGTGGAGTGAACTTCTTTGTGTGTACCTTTTATATAATTTTGGTCTTGGAATCGTGTAAATGTGTTACCCACTTGGAAAAAAAAATACTGTGTTCCTTGAAACAAAAGTTTGCTTTGCACTGCAAATAAGACAAATAGCAGGGCCTTGGACCCAAACAAGAAAGTTGTCAGTTTCCACACTTTTAACATGACTTTTTCAGCTCTTTTCTTCTTTGGAACATGACTTTTTAAGCGGTTTGGGTTTTTTGCTTAACGGCATGAGTCATGGTGGATTTTTACATTTAATCTCAAAGTGTTCCCCACACACACACTCATGCACTCACACTGTACCTCCACCAGTCACCTCCCCACCAACCATGTCCCCACTGCGTCAGTGACGGCTTTCACCAGCCAGCCTCCTCCAGAGCTCTGACCCAGCTGTGTTCACTGCTTCATCAGACTTGTGTTCAGTTTGGACAAGGCTGAGTCCAAAACATTAAAAGCCATCACTCTCATATGTGTTCAGGATACAATAAAAAGGAAAATAAAGTAAAGCTTTGACAATGACTTGGGATAAGATTGTAAAGTGAGGGTTGTCATTGATCCTCTTCTATTTCCTATTCTTTTTTAATTTTATTTTATTGTTATGTTAATCACCATACATTGCATCATTAGTTTTTGATGTAGTGTTCCATGGTTCATTGTTTGCATATAACACCCGGTGCTCCATGCAGAACGTGCCCTCTTTAATACCCATCACGAGGCTGACCCATTCCCCCCACCCCCCTCCCCTCTAGAACCCTCAGTTTGTTTCTCAGAGTCCATAGTCTCTCATGGTTCGTCTCTCCCTCTGATTTCTCCCCCTTCATTTTTCCCTTCTTACTATCTTTTTTTTTTAAACATATAATGTATTATTTGTTTCAGAGGTACAGGTCTGTGATTCATCAGTCTTACACAATTCACAGCGCTCACTATAGCACATACCCTCCCCAGTGTCTCTTCTAAGGACCACCTGCCACACTGTGATGTCTTCTCTGGTAGGGTGCTCAGCCCCCGCTTGCTGCCCACCACCTTTCTGTAACCCACCATTAATAAGAAGAGCACCAAAGTGGTGGGCTCAATGCAAGGTAGCTGCTATTTATTATGGACCAATGTATTCTCTCTTTCCATTAATCCAGATACTGCTTTAGAAAGCTGGTAAATATTACTTTCCACTTTCTTTATGTAACTTGAACCTGAGGCCCAGAGAATTAAGTAAGTTCCCAAATTAATATTCCAAGTACAGTTGACCCTTGAACGATATGGGTCTGAACTACACAAGTCCACTTATATGCAGATTTTTTGGATAACTACAGTACATGTGTTCTCTTCCCTTTGGTTTTATTAACATTTCCTTTTCTCTAGCTTACTTTATTGTAAGAATACAGTATATAATACATATAACATACAAAATATGAGTTAATCAGCTGTTTATGTTATTGGTAAGGCTTCCATTCAAGAGAAGACTCTTAGTAGTTAGGTTTGGGGGGAGTCAAAAATAATAAATACACAGATTTTTGACCGTGCAGGTTGTCAGTGCCCTTAACCCCTGAGTTGGTCAAGGGTCAACTGTTCTCAACGTAGCGAAATCAGGATGGAATCTAAGTGTGCCTCATGCCTAAGCCAGCCTCTCTTGCCTGACCTGTATATACACCACCCCCATTTTCTCTTCATGAAGCAAGGAAGATTTCTCTCTCTTATCTATCTAATATTTTTAGGGGGCTATTATTGTGGAAATCAATCTGGGAAACCAAATATGCTCTAGTAAGAATGGCTAATAAATGTTTACTGATATCTGATCATAATAGTTAAGGTTACTGAGTACTTACTATAGACTAGACACTGAGCAAAATGCTTTGTGTATGCAATATTTTAGCCTTTCTGATATTTTTAGGAAGTACACATTATCGTCGCCTGCACTTTATAGAGAAAGACGTTTCGGCTTGGAGGGCTGGACATTTTCAGGTTGCAGTGAGGAAGTGGCACAGCCTGGATGGAGGCAGACATCACATCTTGAGTCTGGTGTGTGGCCATCATACAATCCTTGTCCCTCAATTGCAAATCCAAAGACACTTGTAACTGAAGAAAACGGTCTTGGAAAGCATGGCTTTGGCCACAAGAAATAAATCTATATTAGTGACCTAGTCTCCAAGGCATGAAACAGCCTTCTTAATACTTGTCTAAGCTTTCCACCCATGCATACCTTCTCTGTCCCTGGGCTAGCCTTGGTTCACCTGAAATCAGACCTAAGTTGAGTTCCTACAGTGGATCAAAATAAGACATTTTTCTCCTTAGGTTTCAAGGGATTCATGGTAGATGCCTCCAAAGAAATCATATCTGCTTCCAGACAAGTTGCATCCCCACAACATCTGGTCAGTCAGTACCTCCCAGGGCCAGCTTATCTTCTTTTTGAGCCCCAAACCACTTCTTCCAACTCTTTCTAAGTGTAGTTTCCTTTTGCTCAGACAGGGGTTGCACAAATAACCTCAGGCAAGCATTTTCTCAAGAATGTTCCAGGGAACTTTAAGTCTATAAGATGCTTTGCCCTTCCCCAAAGTATAAGTTAAATATTTTGGAAGAGGGTGCCTGAGTGGCTCAGATGGTTAAGCATCTGCTCACGTCATGATCCCAGAGTCCTGGGATTGTGTCCTGCATCAGGCTCCCTGCTCCTTGGGAGCCTGACTTCTCCCTCTGCCTCTCTCTCTCTGTCTCTCATGAATAAATAAATAAAATCTTAAAAAAAAAAAAGGTAAATAAATAAATATTTTGGGAGAGAACCTCCAATGGAATGGTACCACCCATACATTTTGTCTTACAGAATTAAACTATACTTACCTGACACACTAAAGAAGAGGAGGTGCTGGGGAGTCCTTTATGTCCTTTACTATTCTCCCCCATTTCAAACTAGACTTGGTCTCCACCCTCAGAGGAACAGAGATCACCACTAAAATGCAAAGAGAAAAAAAAAAAGCAGTAATTCTCTGTTGTAATTCCATAGGCTAGCTATATTGTTAAAGGTAGTCCTCTCCTTGTAAGCAACTACTGTTATTTGAAGGGTCATTTTGATTGTATGCTATTTTGGCCTTTTTTATGTCTCTTTAGAACAGGCCATTCTCCTGTTTCTGTAAATATGGTTTCATTGAAATACAGTCACACGCATTTGTTTACATGTCATCTGTGGCTGCTTTCAGGCTACAACTTAGAGTTGAGTAGTTGGAACATACACCATATTCACAAAGCCAAAAATATTTACTATCTGGCCCTTTACCAAAAAAAAAAAAAAAAAAAAAAAAAAAATTGGCCAATCCCTGCTTTAAAATATCACCCCCTACAAGACATGACTCCACTGTAGTAGTTAAGGGTTTTATGCTGGAGTCAAAGAAAGAATTTCATTTAGAATCCGGTGCCTCAGTTTTGCTGGCTGGGCTTGGAGCCATGCTTCTTTACCTCTTCTAAACCTCAGCTTCTTTGTCTATAGAACAATGCCTGTTAGAATAGCACTGGCTCATAGGGTTGTGAGGATTCAGAGAGTTATCTCATGGAAAGCGCACACACAGTACTCGAAAAGAAACAAGTCCTCAATAGGTACCAGTTATTATTATTATGATTATTGATATTATTATCGATATTTTGATTAAGATTTAGGGGCATGTTAGCATAATTAAGAGTCTAGGGAGAATTTTAGAAATAGGAAGTTTTACTTAGTTTATGCTATCATTTCCCAAATGTCTATGACCGGAGAATGCCTTCCCAGTACTCCCTGGGGGCCTTCCGTGGTACTGCCCTACCGTGAGTCACTGGTGGGGAGCCTGTCTTCCTCCAGGCCTTGCCGCTCTACCTCTCGTCTTTTCCCCTCACCTCCCTGTCGTCCGTTTCTCCTCATTCGTTTCCCTTCTGTGGTCCAGCTTTTCTTCTGAAGTGCTTAATGCTTCAATCCTCAATGTTTTCTCACCCTTCGTTTCCAACTCCCAGCTAACTGAAAGCCAGCCAATGTGGGAGATGAGGCAGTCCTTGCTAACATATTAGTGTGTGAGCATGATACCGCTTTGCATTCTAACAGGGCCTTCTGGACACATAATGCCTTACCCAAATTGATCATTCCACTCAATCTGAGAACTTAAGGCATCCGAATAGCCAGGTGAGAAAAAGAAGTTAGGGCACGGGGCTGTTCGGCACTCTTCTAATGCCCCGTGTACATCTGTCTATAAATAGACTAGTCTAAGAGAATTACTAAGGGAATATTTGGGCATTTGTTTGATTAAGGAAGGTAGGTAGGGAAGCAACTTGGGAAGAAAGCCCCAACCCCACACAAATGCTGACACCTGCCTCAGCCTGGCCACGGCCTCCCCCCACCTCTGCCTCATAGCATTTCAACAAATTCTGTATTTCTCTATGTCTGTGCACCTCTGCCAGACAGTTGCATCCTTTTTTTTAAAAAAAAAAAAAAGATTTTTATTTATTTATTTGTCAGAGAAAGAGAGCACAAGATGATGGAGTGGCAGGCAGAGTAGGCAGAGGGAGAAGCAGGCTCCCTCCTGAGCAAAGAACCCGATGCAGGACTTGATCCTGGGACCCTGGGATTATGACCTGAGCCAAAGGCAGTTGCTTAACCGACTGAGCCACCCAGGCATCCCGACTGTTGCATCCTTTATAGCAAGTATCATGTCCTGTACATCTTAGTTTCTCCACATAATAGAAATATCTGTGGTAGGAAGGGACGATGGAAGGGAGAGAGGAAGAAACTTTTTTACTAGCTTTGGGACTTTCTCCTCACTGAGTTCTTCTTTACTTAAAGCTTCCCTTGACTAGGTTTCACTTCATAGTTGGGCAAGAGGGTATTCAATGTGGGAGGACATCTGACACAGATGATATAAATAAGTGGCAATTTAAAGTTGTCAGGCTTGACTAGAAGCTGGCGAGAATGCATGCCCTAGAAGGGTCCCGAGATCTGGGAGGGAAACTGGCGGTTGCTTCCCTCTGTAGTCAACCGTTTGTGCTTTAACCATAAGGGCACCTGATCCAACCTGGCCTTCCCCCTGGGAATCTGAAACTTTGGTGGTAATCCCAGGTACTGGCCTTCCCTTGATGAGGAAATAAGACTCAGAAAGATTAAATGCCTGTTCAAGCTCCCACAGTTAGTAATGGGGTAGACCTCGTATCCAAATTCAAACCTGTTAGACTCCAAAGCCCCTTCTCTGTCTGCTACACACACTATCTCTTGAAAAAGATTATCTTAGCCACTGCCAAAAGCAATCAGGCTCTTTTTCCACTTCAAACCTGTGCTTAATAACACAGGCACTTCCTTCAATGTCTATGATAAGAAGACCAAAGCATGGGACGTGCTTATCTAATGAATTCAATGCTCTCTTATGATCTTGCCCAATTCTTATAACATGCACTGCTCTAGAATTACCAGAGAGAATGGACATTGCTGCCCATCCTGCATCAGAACACTCTCTGGGCTCATTTTTCCATGTCTGTGCACCTTTACTAGATGGATGACTCCTCTGAAAGAAAGATCATGTTCTATGTGCCTGGAGTTTCCAGGCGCAAAATCAGAGCCTGGACCATGTATTCCTTCCTTCTCTTCTGCAGGTGAGGAAGTAAATAAACTACTTATATTCACCTGTTAAAAATTCCTCGGATGTTATCTTGTTTGATGGGCCTGACCTGTTAAGAACACAATCTGAAAGAAGACCTACAACGTGAGAAAAGGAACAGGACACCATGCTAAGTAACCCATTGGATCAGTAAACCTTTATTAAATACCAGCTTAGTGCAGGAGACAGAGAGGAACAAGAAGACTATGCTCACACGTGAGCTGCTTGGGAGATGTGTAGAGAGGTAAAATAAGACTTATAGAATAACAAGATAAAATGATTTGGGGAAACAGAAGGGCACCAGGGTATAGAGCAGCAGTCTTCAAATTGGAGGGTGTGTGCCCAGGATGTAGCAAGACTTCTCAATGGTGTGTGGATGTAGATAGTTTGCAATAGATATTCAGATCCTCAACATCCATATTCCCTTCCTCCTAAAGTTGATCTGCTTGAGAACCTGCTTTTGGTAAAAGTATCATGTTATGTTTCTTTTCAAACATAGAAAATATCCTCATACTGTGATGAAAATTTGTGGAGACACTGAAGTGGGAATAGAAGACAAAGGAGAAAAAGGAATTACAGTGTATAAAACCCCCAATTGTTAAAGAAAAGCTTGTCCGTGTATTTTTTTCTCCCAAAGGATGAAAATGATGGCTGCCAAAAATATGGTACACCTACTTTCCACTGGATACATTTTAGAAATCAATATAACATTTTAATTGAAATCTACTGTTTACAATAATAAGAAATTACAACCTTTGGCACTATTTAAGCTTATTATGAAAAATTGCAGAATATCAAGCTGAAAATACACAGGGTGGCACATAGTTTTTTAAAATGATTTTAGGGGATCAAAGCAAAGATGTTTGAAGATCAGTGCTGGAAGAGGGTGGATATGTATGTTAATTGCCAGGATCGGGCCACTGAATGGGAAGGAGTACAGTAGGTAAGGTAGGCTAGAGCAGCCTGGGAAGGCTAGCGGTGGCCACCATGATGGAGTGTGGGAGAACTTTCCCAAGCGGACCAGCATGTGCCACGCCTCAGAGCAAAAGAGGGCCTGGAGCCTTTAGATATGACAGTCATGTAGCTTAAACACAGGCAAACGGTGGAAAAGGAGACTGGGAAGGATGGTAGAGATTCACAGAAGGAACAAACAATCTACCTTAGCAACCCATCTTATTCACCTACTTTGTCACGATTCTGGGCTCAGGGTCATGGTTGAAATGGACTTGAGTCTAGTGAACCTGGGATTACAGCCCAGCTCTGCTCCTATTGTCTGTGAGAAGTTGAACAAATGGTCCTCTAGGTCTTTGTTTCAGTGTCTGTAAAAAGAGGAGAATTCAGAGTACTTACTTACTTCACAAAGCTGTTCTAAAAATTAAATAAGAAAACCTACGTAAAGCATTTGGCACAGTGCCTGCTATATAATAAGCACCAAGAAATATTGGCTATTTATATTATTATTCCTAATACTTTAATCTGATCCTATCATCCCCTGCTTAAAATCCTTGAATTGTTACTTTTTGCCTTCAGTATAAAAAGCCAAACTCTCTCAAGTTGTCTGCACCTTCCCTTTCCCTATGTTTTAGTGGCAGCACCTACCCAGCCCTCTCCCCAGAACTGAAAGGAGAGAATAAAGTAATATCACCAGGAACAAGTTAAAGTGTCACAGATGATGCTGCACAAAAGAGCCTAGTGACTTCTTCCAAGTCAGGAAATCAGGGAATCTGTCCCTACACCCGGCTCTGTCCCCATCTCTCTGCTGTCTCTGCACCCGGCTCTGTCCCCCCATCTCTCTGCTGCCCCTGCACCCGGCTCTGTCCCCCCCAACCATCTCTCTGCTATTCCTGCACTGCACCCAGCCCATACCCCCACCATCTCTCTGCTGTGCCAGTCTCATGCTCTGTACAATTAGTGCCTGGGATGTCAAATATTTGATGAACTCATTTTGAAATGATGCACAAAAGAGGTAACATAATCCAATTCTGAAATGACAAGTCTTTATTGAGGGACAGTGAAATAGAGATGGGAAGTTAACAAATGATTTTTAAATATGTGGTTGGAATTGCCCTAATCAAAATATCTTTTCATTCTTTTTTACTGCTCTTTTTTTCCCCTATTTTGTTTTGTTTTATACTATTTGAGGGAGAATCTTTTCAGATGGGAGCAGGGCAGCCTTTATCATTAAACTTATCCAATTTTTCCATGCTACCTCCCCACTTTCCTCTATCCTTTGGCAGGGAGAAGGCTATTAGCTTTGTCTCACGGATGACTAGAAGGCCTGGAATCTAGCATTTGTAACATCCTGACTCTAATCACAGTTCTCTGTGTGTATGCTCAAGCACAGGGCTGTGTGTGTGTGTGTGTAAGGAGGGGTTTCAGGAGAAAGGTGGCAGAACTCATTATCCCTGCCCCAACAAACTTCATGTGTCACCCATGATGCTAAGACTATGACAATAAACATGGGGAGGCACAGGACATGTTTCAGCTACATCCTAGGAATCTAATCTAAGGAAATTAATATCTGATTAAATGAAACAGGTGAGGGAAAAAGAGATATCTAAGAAAATGTGCATACCTCTTGCTTTGGTGACTAAATGGATAACTATGCCATTCACTAAACACAGGAGTTATGGGCTCAGTGATTGAATTTATATATTTGAGGTCCTTCCAGAAGATAGTTCAATGGAGATGGTAAGAAGACAGTTGGATATATGAGTCTGAAGAACAGGTGTGAGATCAGGGCTCAGGGTGCAGAATCAGTTGTAATTAAAGCTGCTGGTTATTGGTGAGCTTGCCCAGGTAGAATAGATACTGTTGAGAAACGAAGAACAAAGACAACCTTATCAAGTTGCATCATTTAAAGATAAGAAACCACAAATGAATCAACAGGTTAGAATGAAAACCAGAGAGAATATTATCTGAATAACTAATAGAAGAATGGAAGTCACATGTGAAAGAGGTAGCAAACAGGACTCCTTCATTCATTGATTCATTCATTCATCAAACACTGGATGCCTAATATGTGCCAGAGATTGTTCTAGATGTTAGGGACAGAGGTAAAAATGAAACCAACATGTTCTCAGGGAACTCTGTTTATTGAGTCAGACAGAAAAGAAAACAGACACTTACAATACAAGATACAGAGGATAAATGTTCTGAGATGGCCTGGGTACCCCTGGGCTTTAGCGACAGTGCCTTCAGTGGAGTGACAAGGGCAATTATAAGCTTGTGCGGCTGTGACATTCAGGGAACTTGGTTCTCAGCAAATAAGAGAGCGGGAGTGATAACTAAGGATGAATATGGGTGGGGAGATGTGTTATTGTTGAAGATAGAAAGATAGAAATAACTTGAGTTTATTCAAGAAAGGGAGACGTAAGAGATCAGAAATAAGAAGGGATTCACTGATCTATAAGTTCTCTGGGGGGGGGGGGGCATGGAGTGAGGGAGGAGGCAGAGACGAGGTGGGGAGGAGATTAGAATCCGGAGTACAGGGGGACCAACTAGCCCTGTGGAGAAGGAGAGCCTGTCTTTCATAGAGAGAGCTGTCAGGAAGAGAATGGGTGGGTGGATAGATAGACAGGTAAACTTTGGATCCAGAATGATAGCTTCTTAAGTACTAGAAATGATCAATCAGCAGATAGAATTATTAATCACATCTTTCCTTCCACTCATACGACCAAAAAAAAAAAAAAAAAAAAAAACAGTGAGTAAAAGGATTCACTTGAATGAGCAACCTCAAAGGCCTTTCAAAGAATCTCGTGGACTTTGCTGGAAACACTTTCATCAGCAGCCTGATACATGGGAACTGGGTCTGTGTGGCTCTGCTGGGAAGTGCTTGATCGCCGGGGGCCACAGCTCTCCAGAAGAAGGGGGCTTTCTCACATCAGCAACTCTGTGGCCCAAAGGTCACCGGGTCTGAGGAAACAATACATCCATTTCCTCCCCACATGTTTCCTTTATAACATTAACACTCAGCCTTCTGCCACTACTGCTTCGTCGAAACTTCTCCCTTGAAGGTCACCAGTGACATCTTCATTGCTAATTCAAATGGCCTCTTCTTCCACCCCGTTCTCAACATCCCCCATAGCCTATTGTTTGTCAAAATCATTCTGGTGACACCGACACAGTTGGTCTCTTTCTGAAACTCTTTCTGGCTTCTTTGACACTGCAGGACTGTGATTTTCCTCCTACTTGTGAGCAAAAGGTAATTCCTAGAGGACGGAAAAGTAATGTTGGGAGGGTAATTCAATGAAGGATGCACTGGTGTTCGTTCTCATGAAGGCTACCAGGCCCAGCAAAGTCTGGCCTCCTCTCTCGTGAATCTCCACTCACTCCACCCCGGCCACACTGTCGTCGCTGTCCTGGGAACCCATCCGACACCTTCATACCTTTGCCATGTACTCTGCGTGCTGTGCTCTTCCCTCTGGTATCCTCATGGCTCGCTCCTTCACCTCTGCAATGTGTGTTTACTACATTTTTTTGAGACTCTCCAATTCTGCTCAGAAAAACAATGTGATGGATAAAACTCTTAAGGTATGCTAAATACAGTAAGCGTCCTATGAGACATGTTAAAAATAAACATAATGAGTGAGATATATGATTTTAAAGAAATGGAATAATTCAAAGTGTCATTTCTACAAAGAAAGGGATGGAAGGACTAAGTAGTAAGGTACTGATCATGCCACCTCCAGGCTGACGGCTGTGTAATCTCAAATTGGCCACCCCTTGGTGATATGCATTATGATAACCTATATGATTGAAGCATATGATTTGGTCTGTGAACCTTTCTGCTCCACAACAAAATAGTTGGCCTGGTACTTGCAGGTCCCCCTGCGTCAAGGTCATTTCTTCTTCTCCAAGTCTTTGTTTAAATGTCACCTTCTCAATGAGGCCTATCCTGACCACCTATTTAATATTGCAATTCCCATTACCAGCCCCCTGTCCCGCTCTATCGTGGCTTTTTTTCCCTTGGCAGATAGCATTTTCCAACATTTGTCATTTACTTATTTATTATGTTCATTGCTTATTGTCTGTCTCTCCCAGTAGAATATTAAATCCTCTTGATTTTTGTCTGTTATTCAGTGATAGCCCACCTTCATAAAACAGGGCCTGAAACATAATAGTCAATCAAAACTTGTTGTGTTGAGTTGTCATTCACCAGGCAGGAGTAAAGGAAATGGTGGCGTAAGTGCCGGGGTATACAGGTTGGTGCTCACAGATTATAAAGGTGTGAAAATCAGCATCAATGTCAGCATTGAGCAACAGCAATGATGCAAAGTTTATAGTGCACAGCCCCAGGAAAAGCATAAATAACCAAGAGTAATGTCAGTGGGGAAGACCGGAATATCAGGAAACTCTAATAACAGTCTTTGGATACAGGGGGTAATGTTGAGTGGAGGGTTAACTTTTGCTCCTATATCAGTGGACGCTTACAAGAAATAGATTTTTCATCAGTTTTATCAAACTAAGTTTTTGAAAACACCTCTTTCTAAATTTAGCCGCAAATTCCACTGTTCATAAGGGCTACACAGATAATTAAGTGAAGCAAGAGGAGAGTAATAGAACAGGGCATGGTACGGACTTTGGTGAAGTGGAAAGCCCACACCCTTCTAAAGACAGCATCCCCTCCTTGGCTTAAGCCAAAAGATGAGATACAGGAATGTAGGCCCAATGTTGCCATATTCAAGAATGTTAGAAATCCAAATTCTTTTTTTCTTTTCAAATTTCTCAATTTTCACAACTCTGAGCCAAACAAGAACTACTATTTTGGCCTGACAGTTATGACATCTGGATTATATTCAAGACCTTCCAACATTCGTTGTCAACCTCCATTTCCAACCTGTATGATCTCTCATTCTCCACGTGAGTCTTACACTCCTTTTAGCCACCTCTACCTTGTACTCTCTAGACTCTGGCACAGCCCAGCCGCTCCTCAGAAGATGGCCCTAGATAGAATGGAACCCAGCCCTGCCCATTTTTCTATTCCACCTCTCTCATTCTTCATTCCTTAAAAACGCACATATCAAGAGCCATCATACTCCAAAAATTTCTCAATACTCTAGTCTACAGCAATGTGTCTTGTAATTTTTATGGCTTTTGAAATAGATCATCTACAGCCTTGTGACATTAAACACCTTTCTTATGTACGTGTGTTGTTCCCCTAACTAGACTGTAAGATCCTCAAGGGTTAGGGGCTGGTACTAGAGCACGCACAGACCATGGTGTTAGAAAGATCAGGTTTAATCTGGCCTTTGACACCTACTAAGAATGTGACATTGAGCTAGTAACTAAACCCTCAGCCTGTTTCTTCACCTATAGAATGCAAATAATACTTCTCCATAGAGATCCTGCAAAATATAAATGAGATGAACAGAAAATGGACATTCTCAGTGGATAGAAAAAGTGTCTGGCACATAATAACAATCCCACCAGCATTAATTGCTTTCATTTCTGTAAGAAAAACCTCAATCTGAAGGTTTTCAATGCCTGAGGCAATCGCCATTCCTACGATCTCCCTTTCCAGAACTCTCTGCTATGCCACATTCATTAGACAAGGGAGAGCAAGTATTGGGGATCAACAAGAGGCCAAGTAAGTAGGGGGTGGTCAGTGAAGAATCAAAGAGCCAACCCTGAAAGAACTCTTCTCGGCTCACGGACTCTGATGGGCGCTGAACTGCTAGCAGGCTCTCTGTTGCTCTCCTACCAAGGCATTCCTGCCATGTGCGCCTGATTATTCTCTACTTGAGTCATGTCTTATTTCCTCACTCAATTAAACATGGAAACCAACATGTGCGACCTCTTTGAAGGAGACCAAATAAAGTCTTAAGTGCAAGCTGATAATGATGCTAATGTAAGACTGATTTAAAAAGACTAGAGCCCTTTGTAAAACGTATTCATTCTCATAGTTTCCCAAAGAGACAAACGCTTTTGTAAGAAGGTCAAATGTCTATCTTATACTCACACTTCAAGGCTGTGAATAAATGTGGTTATAGTGCTGGTTTCCTCTCTCGGAAATTTCCTACATCAGTTGCTTGGTTATTTCCTTTTCTTTAGTCAAATATAATGTAGCTGAATGTGGCCTTTTTTCTTTGTTCTTTCCCTTTTCCTTCTCATCTTCCCTCCATCCCACTTCCTTTCTTTTCTTCCTTTGTTGCTTCCCTCTGCAGTCCTTCCTTCCTTTCTTTCCAATTATAGGGACAAGAAGAAAAATTCTCAGCTATGGTTCCCTTTTAGCTCTTTTATCTATTTGAGCTCTAGAAACAGAAATTCGTCATCTACGTAAAAATAACATCGTGCTGCCATCTTGTGGTAAACTGAGATATTCAGCAAGTCAAATAAATGCTGAGTTCGGAATTACTGAAATACCTAAAAATGCACAGCTGTGCAGTTGGGGCCCCAGTTAACGAAGAATTGATGTTCTCTCACCTCGTGGTTTAACAGCGAGGGCCCCAAGCTAAGGCCGCCTCAAGCCCTCTATTCCTCCCTGCCCCCGGGGCCTATGATTTCTCCCAGGAAGGAGGAAAACTTACTGTTTCCAGACTGAGTCTTGAGTATTGAATAAAACCTTTTACCTAGGCCTATGGCATGTTTTAGGTCTTTAGAAGGAACTTCTCAAGTTTTGAGTAGTTGGAGTTCTTTTCTCTCAAGTCATCCATGGAGATTCAAGACCTACTTATTAACAGGGGCGGGGATTGCCCTAAGTCAGGATGTTTATGTTAATCTAGATGAGTAACCAAAATTCAAATGGTCTGGGAAAGACAGAAAACAACACAAAAAAGTTATTGAGATATTTCTAAGGGCCAAAATAGTACATGTTCTATGAAACAATGCAAATGTCTATTGCTTTATCATAGCAGGGGGATCACACAAAAAGTTGACATTTAATGAGAGCTCTAAACAGTATGGATCCCTCAGGGGATGTTAGGGCCTCAAACTCCGCAGATCCAAAATGAAATTCATTAGGGATGCCTGGGTGGCTCAATCAATTGAGTGTCCGACTCTTGATTTCCATTCAGGTCATGATCTCAGGGTTGAGAGATTGAGCCCTGCACTGGGCTCCAGGCCTAGTGTGAAGCCTACTTAAGGTTCTCGCTCCCTCTGCCCCTCCCCCAGTTCTCTCTTTCTCTCTCTCTCTCCCTATTTATTATTATTTTTTAAGATTTTATTTATTTATTTGACAGAGACACAGTGAGAGCAGGAACACAAGCAGGGGGAGTGGGAGAGGGAGAAGCAGGCTTCCCGCTGAGCAGGGACCCCGATGCGGGGCTCGGTCCAGGACCCCGGGATCATGACCTGAGCCGAAGGCAGATGCTTAATGACTGAGCCACCCAGGCGCCCCTCTCTCTCCCTATTTTAAAAAAAAGAATGAAATTCATTCATCTATTGCTCAGCCCTCCCACACCCATCACCACACACACACACACACACACACACACACACACACACACACTGCAGCCAGAATAGCTCTTTAACATACAGAACTCTGTATTTTACCACTATCCTTAAAGTCTTTCCCTGGTTTCCCTTGTACTCAGATTAAAGTCTAAAATCCCCAGCCCAGATCTGATCTCCTGTGCACTTCTCTAGCATCCTTTGCCATCTATGTTTACCTTCTTGTGATTCTTTTCAGTGCAATGCAGTCTCCCACCAGCTTGGTTTCCCTTCCTACCTGCCCCTGTAGTTCTCCTTTCATAACAATCCTCATACTGATAATTCATTTTTTTATTTCTATTTTTCCTGTTACAAGAGGGTAGGGGCTACAGGCATTTTGCTTGCTACATATTGAAAGCTCAGAAATATGTATTTAACTTACCTCTGAACGTGGTTTTCAGCAACAGTGAAATAAGGTAAGATTCTAGAGTGGGAAAGACTAGGCCCCCTGCCAGTTTCCACATAAGAAACAGGCCCAGCGAGGGGTGCCTGGGTGGCTTAGTTCATTGAGCGTCTGACTTTTTATTTTGGCTCAGGTCATGATCTCAGGGTCAGGGGATAGAGGCCTGTATCGGGATTCTCCTTTTCCCTCTCCCTCTGCCCCTCCCCCTGCTCGTGGTCAAACAATCAGTCAATCAAATCGAAAGAAAGAAAGAAAGAAAGAAAGAAAGAAAGAAAGAAAGAAAGAAAGAAAAGAAAGAGAGAGATGAAAGAAAGAAAGAAAGAAAGAAAGAAAGAAAGAAAGAAAGAAAGAAAGAAAGAAAGAGAAAGAAAGAAAGAAAGAAAGAAAGAAAGAAAGAAAGAAAGAAAGAAAGAAAGAAAGAAAGAAAGAAAGAAAAGAAAGAAAGAAAAAGAAAGAAAAGAAGGAAGGAAGGAAGGAAGGAAGGAAGGAAAAAAAATTGGTGAAATTCCCTTTGCTTGTTTAATGGCAGACCTGGAATCAGAATTTAATTATCCCAACAAGAAATTCCTAGGACTCTTCGGAAGAGATGGAGAGATGGAGTGCTTCCTTTGGCGTAAATATTGAGTGTGATAAGAGGTTGAGGAATAAATGTATGT